ACATATTATATATATATGTATAATATAAGTATATTAAAACATACAGATATAGTTTCCCTTAACCACAACTCTAAATCCTTGTCATCTCCTCCAAAATGACAACAGCCGTGTTTGTGCATTCATATACGTATAATGCGTTTAGAAATATAGTTTTGTAAATGTATCTGTTTTAGGAAAATCAGCATCTTACTCTCCATATTCTTCTGCCTCTTTCTCTTAACAATGAGTGATAGAGATGTCAGCGCACACGAAACTACGCATAGTACCTGCAAAAGATTGCATCACGTGGTCCCCAGGAAGAGCACAGGAGTGGGGGCAATCCATCCAGGGTGCAAGCAGTAAGGGTGCATTGCCTGTAGAGAATTTTTAAACAAAATAAACCTAATAAAAATTCAGGTTTTTTATTATCACTTTGCACCATGCAGGGAAAATTCTAAGCAATGGTAGTGATAAAAGGCTTTTCCCCGTTGGGACAAGCTGCTCCCAAGGTGTGCCCAACTCCCTGGGGAGCGGTCAACAATCAATAGTGATGGGGAGCGGTCAACAATCAATAGTTCCCATAATGATAGATATTTAAGACTTTTCAGTGGTCGATGTTATAAACAATACTGCAGAGAATATCATTGTGCAAGCCTCTTTATACAAGTATAGGAAGTAGAATTGCTGAGGAAGCATATATAGATCTTTAATTTTAATGCATACTTGCCAAATTAAGGTCCCTAAACATCATAGCAATTTACCTTGCCATAGAACTGCATATATTGTCAGCGATACTTAGTGCTCTCGGTCTGTTAAATTCTTGCCTACTTTATGTGAGGAAGAAATATATTTCTTTATAGTTAACATTTTCATAGGTACTCCTGAGGTTAAGTATTTTTTCCTATATTTAAAGCTATTTGTATTTTTTTTTCTGTGGAAGACACATTTATATACTTCTACTATTACTTTATTGGACCTTTTGCCTTTTTCTTATTGATTTTTAAAACTTCGTTTTATTTTCTAATTATATTGTAGATTTTAGTTTTTTGATGGTTATACATTGAAAATATTCTCCCCTAGGCTATGACTTTTCCCTTAACTTTATATTTTATATACAGAAATTTTTGTTACTAATAATTTATCAATTATTTTGTTAATAATAATTTATCAATTATTTCCTTTTTTATTTTGTACCTTGTTTAAAAAGGCTTTTAATCCCCGAGGTTATAAGACTATTTTCCTACTTTTTTCCCTAATACTTTGTAGTTTCATATTTTACATTTAGCCCTTTAGTCCATCTGTACTTTACTCATCTGGATGATATAAGATTTAACCTTATTTTTTTCAAATTAAATTTTTGTTACCAACTCATTACTAAATAATTCATCCAACATCTACTGGCTTCAGATGCCCCTTTAATATATATTAACCTTTATTTCCATGAGCCTGTTTTTTTTTACTCTGTTTTGTTCATTGATCCAGAAGTTTCATCCATGTACAAATACAACTTTATTTTAATTATCATAACTTTATAATGTATTTTGGGATGGTCTTCCCTTCACTGTTGTTTTTGTTAATGAGATTTTATGAAAGTATCTTGACTTTTTTCAACCCTTTGCTCATATAAATTATTTTCTTAAATCTGCTCAAGTCACAAAAAAAAATCTTTTTTTTGTCTTGCTTGGACTACTTCAAATATATTTATCCATTTAGGAATAATTTATCTCTTTATGCTATTGAGCCTTCCCACAAGGGCATCATACTTGTCTCCATTTATTTACTTTCAGTAAAGTTTTATAGATTTTTTTTTCAAATCTCTTATTCTCGCGAAGTAATTTTTAAGTATCTTATATATTTTGTTGATACCGTGAATGAGATCATGAGACCTTTTTGTCTATTACGTGTTCTCATTGGGTTTTGCTGGTGTAGAGAACACAATTGATTTTATGTTTATGTTGTACAACTTAGCACCTTAATAGATTCTCTTATTAATTCTAATAGTCTTTCAAATGATTCCCTTACTCTTCCAGGTAGATAATGATATTGTCTATAAGTAATGACGTTTTTGTCTTTTCCTTTCCATTATTTATACTTCTCTACCTTGCTCATCGTATGGCACTGGTGACGACCTGTGCTACCCTGTGAAGTGGCAGTGAGACCTGGCACCCTGTGTTTGCCTTGCCACTGCCCTTCGTCACCTGCTTCCAGTATCTCGCCATTAAGCGTGATGCCTCCTCTAAGTTTAGTAAAGATTATCAAAATAAAGAAGCGTCTGTCTGTTCCTAGCTTCCTAAACAATTTACATCAGGGATGTGAGTTTTATTTTAACAACTGCTTTTTGAGGTCTATCGAGATGATCGTGTGGTTTTCCTTCTATAATCTGTTAATGTCACAAATCGCATTGATTTTTTTTTTTTTAATTCTGAGTCATCTTTTCATTTGATACATAAATCTTATCGGATTGTGATTGCTTTCTATAAAAACTGGTTCCTATTTATGGGTATACATTTTTATGCTATCTTGTTCAGTTTTGATATCTGGCTATATTAATGAACTGGAAAGGATTTCTCTCTCTTTTTTTTTTTTTACTATTGTCTAGAACACTTTATATGACTTGATAATTTTCTGAAAGTTTGGAAATATTCACTTATAAAGCTATTTAAGTCTGCCCCTTCTAAGAGATGGACCTGGGTAGCTTTATAGGTAAATTTTATATATGAAATATTTTATATATTAGAATCCGTAGTAAAATGTGTGTGATATCTTTAAGCTCACTTTTGCTTTTTTGTTCTGTAGTATTTTTCCCTCGGTTCGTGTTAGCCTTTTCTCTTAGTCATTCTTGAATGAGGATAACACTCTCCCCATCCTGTTGCCAGTATCTAGCATACTCCAGTCATTTCCCCATTTCATCTCTGCTAGCTTAAGACGGTAGTTTTTCCCTACTCTCATTTCCTTGCTCTGTATGTCTTAGAACAGATGGCGAAGAACCTAGCTACAGTACTGACTACGCATATGTCGATTAAGTGGATGAATGGAAAACAACGAAAACCACTGTACACGTCTACGTGGTTTTTATAGTCTCCATCCTAGGGCTTTACATTTCATGTCCACACCTCCTAGGATGTAGCTTGGCACCATAGCTAGTTCTTCCCTCTACCCACTTGCATGTTTTTGGGGAAATACATTTTCTAAGTGGCCATAAAACAGGTCAGGATGAAGGGGGATTTGAGATTAGGGTTTATCTTTGGATGCTTAAAAAGCTACCATAGAAGACTCAGGAGTTGTGTTTTCGTTTGTTTTATTTTGTTTTGCAATGAGCATTTATCTGACATTCTGGACCAAGGTTTGAGGTTGGGAGGATATTGGTGGGGAGAGTCAACAGTCGTTCTGGCTACAGCAGGTCCTTTGAATAATGTCATTTCGTTATGATGTTGATGAGAATTTAAAAAGTCAATTCCCAGGCAGGGCCGCTGTCTGTGTGGAGTGTACATGTTCTCCCCATGTCTGTTTGGGTTTTCTCCAGGGACCCTGATTTCCTCTCACATCCCAAAGATGTGCATTTGAGGTGAATTGGCGTGTCCACATTGTCCCTGCTGAGTGAGTGTGGGGGTGTGTATGAGTGAGCCCTATGGTGGAAGGACGTCCTGTCCAGGGTGGGCTCCCCGCCATACCCACCCCCCACCCCAGCTGCTGGGATAGGCTCTGGCCTGCTGCGACCCTCAACTAGAATAAGTAGATTGGAAAATAGTTGTCTTGTTTCTATTCATCTTTCTTAAATACATGTATAGCGCACATTTCAGTGTTTACTATTAAAAGTGTTTTGGGTATTTCTTTGGTGATGTTTTTGTAACCAGAAATATGCCGTAAGAACTTATCTCTTATTTAGGTCAATTAGCCTGTGGTTAAATTGGTTTCATTATATATCATTTTGCTGAAAGCCCCAGTTTCCAAGAACGTATCAACAATGTTAAGTGAGGATTTATTTTGCCTATTTTTCTTTAGAGATGTAAATGTTTGTTAATCAACTTGATAAATATTTCACAGCCAAATATTACTAAGTTGTTTTTGAAGCTCTGGTGGCTTTTGATCATGGTGATTCCACCCATATTTATGATATCACATGTCCTGGAGATCGCATCCCTGTGCATGTGATTACACAAAGTCCTTATGGAACCCCAGGCCAGGCCACCACTTAACATTACTATTCTCAACTCAAATAAAACTTGAGGTCTATCCTGACAATTTCTAGGATTCCATTCTTTACGATTTTGCTCAGGTATCACCTATTCCAATGTCCCTTCCTTGCCGACATTCACTTCAACCAACTAGGTGAGGGTTCCTCCTCTGAGTCTCATCAAACCCCCACATGCGTGTGTGTTGTACCCCAGTGTGTTACCATGACCTGGGTAGATGTCCCTCTCGCCACCAGACCATGAATTCCACCAGGGCAGGAGTACTGTCACTCTCACTTTCGAGCTTCAGTGGCCAGCACAGGGCCCAGCACAGAGCAGGCACTCAATACATGCTCACTGACTGTGATAAAGAAATAGGCCAAAGCTTAAGAAAAGCAAACCAGAGTTAAGATGAATTGACAGTTCAGTGTGTCAAATCCATCGAGTGAGATGGTAAGAAGGTGACCAGGTGTGAGTGGGAAGCCAGTTGCTGACTTCCTGGCTAATTTAGTACATACCACCACAGTAGCAGCCAAACCATTTGATAGATGAAGCTCAGGCTGGTGCTTAACCCTCTGTGGTCTGATCCAGGCCTGTTTTCTTCTCACCCCCAAGCTCCCCAGTCTCTCCTCTTAGCCTTTTTCTTCTAACTACACTAAGCAGTTTCATGCACACCGAGTCTTACTGGTCCTGCTGCTTTCTCTTTAAGAATGCCTGAGCTCATATATACATATTAAAATCAACCTCATCTTTCAAGAATCTATTCAGAGACCATTCTTCCCGTGGAGCTTCCCTAGATCCCCAGACAAAGGACTTCCTCCTTCTCAAGCATGCTAATGGCACTGGACACCTCTCATGAGGCCCTTATCATTCTTGCTCAGGACCAGAAAAAAATGGTCCTTTCCAAAGGACCTTTTTTCTTTCATCAATCCAGTGATTCTTTTTCTCATTTCTATAATTTGTTTCCTTCTAATCACCTTTATATAGACAGCTGCCTTTAACATTTGTCAAATAAACTTGATGCACAAACATCATAAAGAATGAAAGAATCTGTCGTGCATCTTTTTAGCAAAACAGGATGGCTCAGATTCTCGTTGTAAAATGTGTGATAAAGCCCTTCCTGTGGAATGACTAACTAAATAAAAATACCATATTTTCTTTTGTCCTTATGAGTATATTGTTTACTCATTAATTCTTGAGTTTGAGATAATTCACCTAGGATGCTATCATCTAAAGACTTTTAGTCTGAGATTTTACATATACAAACAACTTCGCCGTCCTTGTTAGTCTAGAAAGCTGCTCTCCTCTTTGAAGTCATCTTCTGAGTCATCTAATAATTGTGAAATATTGTTCTCTGTCAAATTCTTCTCTTTGCCATTATGAAATTTTGAATTCTCAACTGTAGGCAATGAGCTGAAAGCTGACTCAAGATAGTGACGATTTATTTTGCTGTTGAATCATCCTTCAAGGCAATTCTATTCTTCTGTTTTATTATCTTAGTCTCTTTTAGCATAATTGGGAATGACTGATGAGTATAATGAAAGATATTTCCCAGGATGATGAAATAGCAAAATATTTCAAAAGAAAGGAAAAATAAGATCACAAAGATCCCATCGTGTACCTTAGATTTATAAAAAGGCCCAGTGAACCCATATAGTACATGCAAAATAGAATGAGTTTTGTTTTATTTAAAATATAAGTAAATTTTCTCTTCATTCTGTGGAAGCCCTTCGCAAAAGAATAAAAGCCATGAAATATCAAGTCTTATTAACAGTTTGAAAAACTCAAAGAGGAAATTCAAAAGCTAAGATTGGGTCTAATGGGCCCTGATGGTATGCTGAGGGTTATCTTGTTAACATTCCATACACATCTGTCCAACTCAAGGCCAGGAACAGAGAGTGAGTCACAGACACCGTGCCGTCCTCGAGTCCTCCAGGCCTGGTCAGGGGTCTGCTCATAGAAGGAGCTTAGGAGATATTCACCAAGTAGAGAGTAGGAGCCAGAGGTATAATTGTTAAGCCGGAACTGTAAATTATCAAGGGAATGTCACACAGTGCTCCTTACATATGTGCAAGGACCTTGCTCCATCTCAAAATTGTTGTGCTTTGCATAGAGTACCATTCTCCCTCCTCTCTCTTTTAGCTGGGTTACTGCTACACTTCAAATCTCAACTCAAACATCGCTTCTAGAAAGAAGACTTCCCGAACTCCCAGCCCCTTCCATCAAGTGCCCGTTAGTGGGTTGGCAGAGCCTCAGTCCCCACCCTGCTTCTCTGCACTCATCACCGTAACTGTACATAAGGTTTCAGTGTATCTCCTTCACTAGGGTGGCTGGCCAGGTTGGGTCAGCACCAGCACAGTGCTGCCCGTTGTGGGCACTCAATATGTATTTTGTGAATGAAAAACACTGAATGAATTCAAATACCTTTTCAAGTACAGACGCTCACCTATCTGAACCCTTTAACAAAGTGTTAAGATGCGTGTGTTTGAGAAAATAAAAATAAAAAGTAAAAGGCCATCTACAGGGGAAGCAGATCAGGTAAGAGAGTTGTTACTTTCCTGGACGATCCTTCACTGGTGGGGGGAGGGGCACTGGGGACAATAAGCAACGTGACTGGTGCAGAGGCATCCTCAGCTCATGATTCTGGTTTTCATTTAGGTATCAGGCGATTTATCAGAGACTGAGCTCAGCAGTGAGGCTCGGCACCCCCAGATGGGCGCAGACATCACGGAGGAGAAAGTGAGAAGCAGGTTTTTCAAGTTAGCAATGAAAATGAGTGAGAAGGATACGTCTTCAGGGGAGGACCAGGAGTCCGAGCCTAAGACAGAGTCTGAGAACCAGAAGGAAAGTGTGTCCTCCGAAGACAACAGCCAAAGCGTCCAGGAAGAGCTGAAGAAGGTAAGGGCCGTGAAACCACGTGTGACAGCTCCGTGTCTGCAGCCGGGGTGTGGGGAAAGGTTCTGTACACAGAAGACAGACCCAAACCCTGGCAGAAGGTGATCTCAGATGCCCGGCCTGCAGCCTATGCCTGGGTTCTGCCTACAGCTTCTCCAAGCTTGTTCACGCTAGACTTCGTCATTTTAGAGTCAGAATATCTCTGCTCCCTCCCTCGGAAGGCGGGGAAACTAACATTTGTTGAGTTTCCCTATGTGCCTGGTGCTTTGCCAATGTTGATTAGTCCATTGAATAAAACCCTTTGAAGTAGATGCAGGCCCTTTTGCAGATGAGGAAACCGAGGCTAGTCACCAAAGAACTTACCCAAGGCCCACAGCTAGTAGGTTTCAGAGCTGAGGCTGCATTCCAAACCTCTCTGACCTCAAGTCATGGGCTCCTACCTTTACAAAGAGCTGCCTCTTCTGTGACTCACATAAGATCTTGTCTTGAAACATCTGGATTTCTTTCCACTTGTGATCAGATTTTTCCTGCTTTGAGAGTATGCCATATAAGCCAACAAGCTGCTGGGGGCCCACGTGCATGGGTGAATGAGCCCTTTACCTGCTCAACAGCCAAGTTGGGGTACCATAGAGTAGCCAGGCCAACCTAGCAATGGCCACAGATATCCAAGAGCAGGCCCAGAGGCAAGTAGGGAGCATCCTCCATAGCTGAGCCCCTGAACCCTCCAGCACCTCAGACTCCACCTTTCACTCATTTTCATCTCACCCTCCATAGCCGTGGGGTCCTCACTCATAAATGTGCCAGGCCCTCTGCCTGTGGACAGCACACAAGTCCTTCCCATCACGTGTCTGTGGGTTGGAAAGCAGAGCTTGGCCATCACAGGCAGCCCCGCCCTGGGATGTGGGATCCAAACCATTGCTTCCCCAATGGTAATAGGCTCTGATCCTCTCTGGTACTTGAACCGATGCCCTGTTATGGTCACATTTGTCTGCTAGAGCTGGGAGCCAGATGATAACTGAAGAATATCACATTATTTCTTATAATGGCTCTGCATCCTACCGGCTTTGCTGCCTGATGCTCCCAAGGCTTCAAACACTCATGCTGTTCCCGTGGCATGCTAGGCCAGGATGACTCATGTACTTCCACCCCTCTGCAGCCTGCAGGCCTCACCTTCTAGACGCACAGCCAACAACCTGCCCTGTGCTCTTCCAGGCAGGATGTGAACAGGGAAAGGAGGAACCAATGGGAGGAATCCCGGGCACTTGGACCAGACCCCCCATTCTGTCCTGTGCCCTTACTTAGCAGGAAATTAGGAGAGTTGCTTTATTCACACTCCCAAAGGTGGCAAAATTTAAGTTTGTCCCCCAGCCTACCATGACTCAATGAGTTAAATATCAACCAGGTATCACTTGCTATATATAAAAATCCATGTAGCAAACTGAAAGGTAATTAATATATTTTCACGATCAGTCATGGGCTACTCTGATTAAAGGAAAACAGAAATTCAGGTTTGCATATTGGATATTATTTAGAAAAAGAAGGGCATAGAGATAGGCTTCAGGATTAGACTGAGTTGAAAACATAACCATGCAGCTTATAAACTCTGTGGACTTTGATTAGTGTCTTAACTCATTGCCCCTACTTAGAACAAGCCAGTGTCATTTCTTGCCTGCTTATAATACATCACCTCTGAACTGTTCTCCCTGTCCCTCCAGGCCCTTCTTGGCCCTCCTTCCCCACTTGACAGGGAGAGCTGCCCTGCAATCTTTGAACTTGCTCCCGGCCTGTCCACAAGCCCACGTCTGTCTTATTTTTTTATTATTATTGATCCCTAGGACCCAGCCCAGGTCTTCATTGTTGATTGGATAAACACATTGTACCTTTATCTGTAAAATGGAGATAATCATACCTTTTATAGAGTTGTGAGGAATGAATTACACAGCATAACATTTGGCACATAGCAGGAGCCCAGCAGAGATTAATGATTGTATCCCCTTTAACAGCTTCAAGAGAAAATAAACTTCACTGTCATGAAATAACGTACCTCTGCTGACATCAAAGGAACGGCTTAGTCAGCACTGGCAGAGTCAAGCCATAGGTCTGTAACCACATTTGATGCTTTGTCGTATTATGCAGGATGTAAAGCGAAAACACCACATCAGAACCCCAGATTCCCATCTTCGGGATTAGAATAGCCAATGACTTCCCCTGTGATCCGACCACAACTAGTTTGTACACTCACAGGCGCACACGCACACACACATGCACACACAGCATGTTTGGGGAGTGGATCTGAACTCCTGTAACTGTTCCAGAAGCTGTCAGTGTTCACCCTCATCTGTTCACTATGGTTATGTACTGGCCCAAAGTCCAACCGCCTCAGTCCCCTTAGGCAGCACGAGCGCCTCATCCTGTGCAGAAGGCAGGCTGGACGCCAGAGAAATAAACTGCCTGGGGACAGCCCTAACCAGTGACTGAGGGGAAGAGTGTAAATACTCCAGCTCCATTGTCCCCCTTGAGTGGTGACTCTGGGACATGAGCTACACATTCATGTCCCAAGTTCCCCAGCAGACTGAGCTCTAGGCACCCACAGTGATGAAGAGCTTGGTAAGGCAGTCCTCACTCGCCCCTTTCTCTTGACTGCCTCACGTCCCCACTCCTACACCGCTATTTCCTGGGCTCGCCTCCCAAATAAACTGCATGCACTCAAATCCTTGTCTCTGAGTCTGCCTCTGGGAGAAAACACACTGTGACAGGAACCAAACAGGAGAGTTCTCAGTTCATAAACACTCGCTTCAGTGTTGTGACTAAGTAGCGAGGCAATCCTAATGCCTAACTGGCTGCTAATTAAATGCCTTCGTCTTACCAAGAGGGGCCTCCCTTGATTCAGAGAGAGATCTTTATCCAGACTTCTCTGGCCCTTCTGCCTCCACTACTGGCCCTGCTCTCTGGGAGCTAAAAAAAAAAAAAAAAGAATGTATATATTCCTGTAGACACGGTGACATCAGTGGCAGTTCAGTGTCCTTAGTCTGAAAAGCCATCCAGAAATTAGAGCTTCAGAATCCTAAGAGTCCAGAATCAGAAGAACTGTTTTAGGAACACGCTTTTTGATTAGCGTGAGCCCTTAGCTATGGGCAGACTTGTTCCTGGAGTTGGCTCACTTTGGCTGGGTGTTGGGAGCCCAGGGATGCTTCAAGGATGGGCACTGCCATCTGCATTTTAACTAGCTGAAGAATGAGCTTGTAGATCTTGGGGGCAGCCCAGAAACTCCTGGGAACTGGATTCCCAAAGGTTCATGTTTTTTTTCTTTATGTCACCTTAGTTCCCTTGAGCCTCAGTAATCGGCCTTCCAAACCATGGGGTCCTCGGAGCCCAGGAATGAGCATTTGCTTCTCCTCTACTGCTGGGCAGGTGGCCCTGCCGTTGGTTCTGTAACGAAGTCCTGGCTGAAGTGGTTCTTAGAATCATTTACCTCTAGGTATGCGATGCTGCATTCCTGAAGGAGGAATGCAAAAAAGGGCCAAGTACTCCTGGCCTAAGATTGGAGACCACATTCAGGAGTTGAGTCTTTCATAAACCCCCTAGTCTTGCCAGGCTTGGAGCAGTGATCCCCCAAGGTCCCTCTGGCTTCAAAATCCCATGGTTCTAGATATATCATGAATTAAATAGGTTTTTGTTTTCTGACATAAGTATCATTTATGACACTGTTTGTATAATAAATGACATATGTCAAGCTTTTAGAATAGAGGTGTTTGTCGAAGGCCCAAATTAGTATATTCTTACACTATAGTCAAATTTATTCTTACACTATGGTCAAATCCAGTATCCTGAAAGCATTTTTATTTAAAATGTCTTTGTTTATTATTATCACAAATAGCTAAATCATTGTGCATTATTTTCACAAGGGAGTCACAGACAAGCTGATCATCTCCCATATTTATGGTTTCATGGAATAATTCTCATCAAAGCACTGAGACGTCTCTAAACTAATAAATGTCTTTCAGTATGAATTTGTGCATCTTCTCATGGCTGCTCCCCATTGGCTAACACCAGGCCACGTGGAAACACAATCCAGAGCCTTGGGTTTCTGAAGTTTAATGTGCTTGTGGGAAGCTTTTTGTAGATATCACAGCGTTAACATAAAGTCAAGTGCTGTCCATGTGTGTCTCACCCTTGTAAAATAACTCACCATTCACAAGAGGCTTCAATGTCTTTCATCCCAGGCAACATTTTATTTCAGAAGAACGTCTTCATCTTTAGCTGGTGCTATAGTGAATATGTTAGGTATTAACTTGTATCTTACAAACCATATTGATCTCAGTAGGCCTACTGAGGAATTAACACCTCTTTTCTAACTTTCTATTTAACTGTTGCTGTAGGAAAAAAGAGAAGCTTTAGCTGTCCACTTAGAACTACAGCTCTTATCCACAGTGCTGGAACAGGTGAGGAGGGTTCATTTCATTCGTGTGGTCATTGGCTCCACTCATGTTGTCATTGGCTCCACTCATTCGCATAACCCTGTCCTGTTGTTGGAGTACGAGGGGCGGCAGGCTGCCTGGGTGGTAAGACAGAGTTCCGAGTTCTCTCCTGGATCGTTGGGACTTCAGCAGAACATCTTCCTCTCTGTGCAGAAGATGAACTGAGCGCTAGAGAAGGATTGTCCAGAATGCGAGTGCAATGCAGGTGTTATCGGAAGGGCCAAGATAAACCACTGTGGCCTCAACCGCAGCAATAGAATGGGACATAGGACAGGTGGTTTGAAGAGAGGAGGGCAGAGGAGCTCTAGAAGGTTGTGAGAAGAAGGGTCTAGAAAGCATGGAAGTGGTTCAGAGCTCACACCCCACTAAAGCCCCAAAGTAAGACACCATAGGGAGATGGGAAGATGGGAGGTAAGAAGGGAGAGAAGGCAAAAAGATGCTGTATGTCTGAAGCTCTGCAGAATAAACAAGACTATGCTCTTCAGAAACATTCTGGGTAGAAAGAATACAAAAACAAAAGAAAGA